TGGGGGGGTTTGGGGGGGGGGGCAACTAGCAGACGTACTATACAATCATGAAATGAATGCAGTTTTTATCAACTTTAAACAACATCAACATCCCGGAAAGATCTAAAGGATTGGAAATCATGTAGGTGCCTAAGCAGACCATTTTCAAAAAGGACGCCATGGATAGATCGTGGCCTTGAACCACATTTCTATGTGATCAACCAATGAAGATCCTTATCCAACTTATCTTTAGGGTTGATCTTCAACAATTATCTTCTTGTCCGTATCATAATGAATGCAACAAACTAGATAATTGCTCATCTGAGACACCCAATAACTTGATCAACAGATTTTACTGGCTCGTCTGCATCGAGTGAAAACACAATTACTAGGTGTATACCGTGAGGCAACTCTATGGTCCACCAATGCAGAAGATATTAGATTTCCTCCAAAATAGACAGTCTACTCCTCTACACCCCAACCATCATTTCCATCCTTCACTAACTGAACTAGAAGAGGAACTCGTATCTGTGGATCAACATTTCTTCCTTGTAGGATGGCTAATCCTGCAGGCAATAGCTAAAAGTTGTTTTGGTTTGGTTGAACGAATACACTTTCTTGGAAGGAATTGATTTCTCCTTATCATTCAACCAAGAAATTTTAGTGCTTTATGTGGGCATAAGAATTTGCTCAGTACTACACTGTAATAAGGAAACAAACTTAGTTAAAGGAAACACACCTTTCCAGACATCATGTCAATAGAAACGATATGGGACACAGTTTCTTGAGAAAATATGACAGGTGCATATTCATCATGGACAGGTGCAGGATCCAAATTCTCCTGGATATAATCTTGGACTACAGTCTGGTCCTCAGTTTCCATTTTCTTTATTGTCCATCCATTCTGCTTCTCAAATTGTTCCCTCTTTGAATGAGGAACTCTCAGTGCATAAGCAACACCACTAGTAAGTGGCCTTTCAAAAGCTGTTCTCTCCGTATATTCTCCAAATGTTTTCTGGGGAATAAGAAAAAGTAACAGAATTCGTTGCCATATAAGTTATACACAGAGTAAATACTTAGTTTTGTAATTAATAAATTATAAAGTAGTAGAAAACCCTGAGAACATTACCTGATCAATAGCAGAGGGGTGCTTTTCGTGGTGAAAGGTGGAGACAAGAACAGCCAAGGCATGAACCTGGTTCATGCTCACATTGAATTGGTCCTGCAACATCCGAGCCCGTTCATCACACATGTTTGCTAGTGTTTCTTTCCTCCTCAAAACAATACCCTGATTCAGGTACGAAAATAACCAAATGGATCCAATCACCCCAGCTAACACAAATATAATTAGGCACTTCTTCCTAGCATTTGTAGAGGAACTATGGGTTTGCCCTTGCTGTTGCTGCTGCTGTTCCTGCTGCTGCTGCTGCTGACCAAGTGGCTGCTGCATGAACAGCTTCCGTTTTCGGTTCCCTAACAATTTTTCCTGTAAACCAGGCATCTTGCAGCTTACTGCCATTCCAATGAGGATCCACCAGCATACTTCCAAAAGCCAAAAGGAAATGCTTTGACAATGCCATCGTGCAAGACTCTCGTGGACCCTTGGCCGTGATACATTCTGATGAAATTCATGATAAAATAGCAAATGAATCGATCGTTCTAAAACCACTTAAGGTAGTCAAGATCTTTCAAGCTCGCTCACGAAAGATTTAAACTAAGGAATTGCTTTTACAGAAGGCAGTATAGGGATATAGTTAGCAAAGGCACTTTTTTAAACGGCATAATAAGCCATTTTTCAATTCACCCTATCAAACTTACAGGCATAGATTTGTTTTGGGGTTTCATACATTGGTCCTTGATTTAAAGATCACAAAGTAACTAAGATATAATGACTCAAAATAGTGCCTACACATAATCTGCAATAACATTGAAGTTTTATACCAACGGAACCCACTAGGCAACAACCCAAAAAAAATTTCCCATTTCCACTCCTATGCCATCCAGTCAGCTATACAAGTTTTCTACAAGTGGCCTGACAAAATGTTTCACTGCTGGAAATACCAGTCGTACTGAAGTCATATTTCTTGTGAACTGAGGATTTGGCTCAAATGGGACTTCATAAAAAATGCTTTCCAAAGGAGGTGTACAGCTTTGACATTGGCAACCCTGTATATGTCTTTCTTTCTTTTACTTTTAGGAGGCTACTAATAACACGTACTCAACAGGCTATCTGAGAACCTTCAGAAAAAAAAAATTATAACCAAAGCAAGAAATGCAAGAAAGAAATTGAAACAAAAAAAGTCTAAGCAAAGGGCTCCACCTCTTCATGATTCGACAATATTGATGAAGACATAAACTGCGAAGCAAATGCTACAGAATTGTCCCCCAACAATGATAGTTCATGCTTCCTGGGCATGTTCTCATCTTGAACAAGGCACTGGTCCTCGGGGTCTACATCTGCAGGCAGCATACGCTGCTTTTCAAATCTCTGGTTCTCTGAATCTAGCTTCTTAAGATCACAGGTAATAACATTTTTTGAAGACATTCCAAATCCTGATTTTTTGCTGCATCTGAAGGATGTAATCTGCAAGATGTGGACTACGAATATAAGTACACAAAACTAAGATATGAACATTGATTATGTAATCTTTGATCTTTTGTCTGTTGCCATTTTCATACAGCTGAAACTCCATCAAGAAAGTAATGTACAGGAACATTTGCACATTTTACCTTTTCTAAATTATCCTCCATATAATAAAAAATTGGGCATCTTTCGCCTGGTTAAATGAATTAAATTTAATTGATAAATTTTGCGAACACTCGGATAGTAACCAACAAATGAGAAGACTACAGGATGACTTATTGGCCTTCCTTCCTTATGCACATGAGGATTGGGCAGAGACAGAATGATACGTACGTAGTTTTGATTGTTCAGAGTTTTTGTTATCTGAGGGTTGTTCTTAGAATAAACAAGTCACAAGACTGCTACAGGTAGATCAGTTTTGTTCAAATTGGCATGGTGTTGAATCCACATAAGAAGTTTTAGCAGCAGAAGATATGTTTTGTGAAGTGGTTTTCCTAATAGATAATGAAGTCTGCACAGGTCAGGTTTCAAGTTGACTAAAGAAATGAAAAAAAAAAAAACCAAACAAAAACAACTCTAAATCCACTTCATTATCAATAGACATGGGTGTGCTTCTTACTCCAAAAATTTCCATTTTTTCAAACTGTCATAATACTTGTAATACCGCATCCAGCTGTTCAACTCTCAAAGCAAGAGAACAAGACGGACAGCTGCCATCAGGGTTCAAATGATAATTTTTCTTAAAGTGACAACGTTTCTTATTTAAAATTTCAACCACTCTTGTCAAACAAAATTGACTTCAAGTTTGCTCACCAGGTTTAATCCACTCATATGTCTGTAATTTCACTCCAACATAAATACCTAAGATGTTGTGGACAATGTAAGAAAGGAAACCTAAATGAGAGTAAAAGAATTAAAATGTTAAAAACCTCAAAAGATTATTGCAAAATTAGCACAAAGTTCACTCCTACCATACTGCTGATATCCCCTTATCCCAACCCTATATTTAAAAAGAACAGAGAAAATATATCAATGTATCCGATCCTCAATTATTATCATTCAAGAAATGTGACTGTTTTCTCCAACTTGCCAAAACAAAACATTGGGACGCAGAAGAGGAAGATGGTTAACTCAACTCTTGTACTCTTAGTCATTTGGTGACATTTAAAAGCAAGTGAATTTACAACAGAAAAACTTGGAAGAATCCAAAATTATACCTAATCCCAATTTCAAAAACAATGTTTGGGTGTGAGTGTGTGTTTTGGAGGGGGGGGGGGTGTTGTGGAAGTTCTAAGGCAACCTATATTGATTTGACCTTTAAAAACTTTGATAATCAATTTGCAGCTTCCCTGCATTTAATTCCATATGTCATTCCCAAATATGTTTCATTGTATACAAATTAAAAACATAAAAAAATGCCACAATTAAGTGTTGTGGTAGAGTTTTGACTGTCGATATCGAAACTAAAGGAAAAAAGGATGGTTATATTACATAATTAAATTGAAAAATATTATTTGCATTTCGCTATATTAACTCATGCAATTAAAGTCCAAATTCAATTCATGCCATTTCAAACTATATTCTAAGTAAAATTGGAAAATATTATTTGCATTTCGCTATATTAACTCATGCAATTAAAGTCCAAATTCAATTCATGCCATGTCAAACTATATTCAACGTAAAATTGTAAAAAACCTTGGATTCATGTAGCTGACACTATAAATGTTGGGATAAGGCTTCGTTGAGCTGAGTTTTAAAATTAAAAACAGAAACGATTCAGAGCTACGTAGAGATATTAGCTTTGGGGCCAATAACAAAGCACCTGATCTGATTCAAAGAACAGAAAAGCCAAGGCATGAAGTTCTTCCTTGCTGATGTTGAAATGTTCTGGCAAGATTTGAGCTTTATCTTCGCACAAGTTTGCAGTGTCCACCTTCCTCCCCAAAGCCCCAAAATTCAAGCTATACAAAAACCAAAGCAACCCAGAAGCAACCACCAAAACCCATAAAAGAAAAAGTTGTCTCCTCAATCTCCAGCCACAATTAGACCCACCCAAAGACTCTCTTGCCTTCCTCCCTTTAAAATCGGTTGAAAATTTGCAATTCATAGACATCTTGACCAAAACCCACTCACAAAATCTTCAAAAAGAGACTTGAAAGCTTGAGAGTTGAGAGGAACCCTCTATAGAGCAGAAACACTCCTCAGAATCAGACCTCTGATAGAGAAATTTCTCCCTTACCAGACTTCCACAGGGAAGCCTGGCCACAAAGAGAAATTGCAAGAACCCAGTAGATTCTCATAAAGTATTACTCCAATAACTCAACATACCATGTAAATATAGAGGTCCCACCTCTTCAAACTCCTGTCCTCTCCATCACAGTTCAGGACTAAGTTCCTTCCTCCTTTACCCTATGAAAATCAAAAACTTATCAAAACCTTACCTCTTTGGGAGAAAACAGAGAAAAGACAATTATGCCAAAGAAGCAGCTGCTTGAAACCCAAATAATATTCTGGCGAGCTGGGATGGAATCATTACAGAGACAAATAAAATGGAGTTCTTTTTTTCCTATTAACAAGTTCTCTCTTTTCGCACAGCTCTGTATTGCAGAAAAAAGAAGCATCAAGATCAAAACTTTTTCAAAGAAAACTACAAACCCAGTTGGTTTCACTACAAACCCAACTGGTATAATGATCAGAATGTGGATAAAAAGAGATGCTTTTCTTTTTCCTCTTTAACCCCTCTCTCTCTCTCTCTCTCTCTCTCTCTCTCTCCAGTTTGGTGTTGCGCACATATGTGTGTTGATGTAGGAGTACATCATTATCTCATCATCCAGCGGAGAAGGTCAAGAAAAAGCAAACAAACAATAGGTCTCACCACCGAAAACAAGAACCAACTATAGGTTAATTTCTCTTTATATTCTGTTAATTTCTTATGCTTTTTGAGAGAATTGATAGAGACCCACCGTTCAGTGTTCGTTTAAAGATGGATGATTTGTCTTCTGTCGCTCTGCAAGTATACGGATACACGTCCGTCTATACCCTATAGACTATACAAATAATATAAAGAGAGAAAGTTAGAGAGAGAGAGAAAGTGCCATGGGAAACCAGTTTATTTTCTTGCAGTACGTACATACGGAGATCAGCGTAAATGAAAAAGAAGGCATCTATGCTTTTAATAGTTGCTAACATACGCCTTGTTTTGAGGCACTTAAGCTACACTTTAGTCTGGCCAAGTATTCCAATTGTATAAAGTATAAACCCTTCCATAATTATAAAAAAAAAAATCAAATATGTGTTATAAAAAAAAAATGACGATCGAGTGTACGGGACAAGGTTTCATCAATATTTATTACCTGATTATATCAACACTAGCAAGTGGTATTATAATTAAAAAGAATACATGTATGAGTATTAAAGTACTTAATTAAATCAAGTTATAACTCTCTTTTTTACATTTTTTTGATAAATTACTTATAATAAATTCAAGTGAAATGAATATAAAAAGAATACATGTATGAGTATTAAAGTATTCAATTAAATCAAAGTTATAACTTTTTTTTACTTTGTTTTTATAAATTACTTATAATAAATTCAAGTGAAAAAAATTATATAAAATAAGGTCTCTCCGTAAACTAAAGCTTTCTTTAAAAAATAATATTTTATAATTTTTAATATACATTGACAACAATGTCAAACGTTTAGAACAAGTATGATATAAAATTGAGACACCAACGACAATATTGTATACTTATTACACTAATACATTAACACGTTGGTTGTGCTACAAACATTTTCCATCCACTAAAAACTATACAAGCTAACAACCCATTGAAAACATCTATTCTAATTGAGGATGATATGATTATCACATACTTTACTTGTAATATATGACTATACCTCTTTCTTTTTTTCATTTTTTTTTTCAAGGGAAAATATGTTCAGATTAATTTATACGTATTTAGACTAATTTTTTATCCGATCCAGTTAAAGACAAGTCATTTACATCGGAGTTTATGGTATTCATGACAAATAAATCCTTTAAGGGGTTATCAAGATTTAGACTATGGACATCTGAATTTACAATTCGTCCCTATTACCACTTGAGCAATCCTTGAATTAATTATAGCTAGATATAAAGTAAAGAAGAACTCATTGAAAATACTTTATTTTGTAAGTAATTTTTCGTTTTTTTTTCCCTGCTAGATCGATTTCCTAAGTGATAAATTAAAAACTTTGAAAAAATTAAAATAAAATAAAACGTGTGTTAGATTCGTGAAGAGGTCAAAGTGTGTCCTTCGTGGTGGTTCTCTCCATACATAGAAGCAACAAACATTTGTCTTCCCTTATTTTTTAAATTCAATTATTTCTAACTTACCATATGAAAGAAAAATAACACTTGAAATGGTTCCCATTTAAAATTATGGCAAAACTAAACAAGATTGAAATAGTGTGGTTTTGCATTTGGACAAGAGAAAATAAACAAACCAATCTCTATTGAATTTTTCTCGACCCCATAAAACTCAGGTTTAATCAAGGTATAGGGTTTAAGAAGAATTACATTCATCTAATGTTTATGATAGGTGTTTCATTCAGCCATGAGTCAAACTGCAGTGGACCCATACACCTTTGTGAGCCAATTTCATATCATACCCAGTGGAAAATTTATTACTTGGATTAGTAGTCCTATTTTCACTTCTAGGTATATGGACTAAGGAGCTAGAAAGTACCATGTCACATGTGTGCCTTAGTGCATGGGCCATACCAATACTTAGTCTCAATAATTTGCATGATCTTGCTGGGGACTTGGATCCACCACTATCAAGAAAGATCCGATTCCAAATTTTTTTATGAACCTTGTAATTACTATTGTTATTCTCCTTGAATTGTAATATGATTTTATTGGATTGTAATTTTTTTAATACAATATTAAAGGAAAGCATGTTCATACAATTTGATTTTTTTTTGTATTACAATCAAGAGTGTTTGAGTCAGTTTACGCGCATCTCGATTAAATTCTCACCGATTTAACAAATGACAGGTCATCTACGCCAAAATTAAGGAATTTATGATGGATAACTTTTTTATGATTTAACCCCAAGAAAGTTATTAAGTTTCGAATTCAAAATATCTAGATTTACAATTCATTTCTATTTGTATTGGATTGCCCATCTGAATTTACTTTGAGGGTTCACTCCATACGATAAAGGATTTTTGTTGCGTTGCACACGCCCAAACTCACCCGAGTCTTTTGGTTGTGTTGAAGTGTATAAATATTTATCTAATGTTTATTCATAAAATTTTCCAAAGGAAATAAACAAAGGAAATACAAGATCCATGAGCAAAAACTGTCATGCGTAGTAGTGAAATCCAACCACTTTCACCAATCTATACCTAGATTCTAACCCACGATAACTCTACAAGTTGGTAGAATTTTTGTTTTTAAATTGGTATAATTTATGTAGTTATTCCTAATAATCATTAAACCCCACTGATACAATTAGAAGCACCATGAACAATCTAAAATGGCAAAAGGCTAACAATTATTATGTACCTCAATACATTCTAAATTTTAAAAAATGACCCATGATTATGTAATATTTATATTTTAAAAAATAATTAATATTTTTTAATTATGTAATTTAAAATTAAAGTGAACAAAAAAAAAGAGGGAGTTAAGGGAGAGAGGAGAGATAGATAGGTATAAATTAGTGAAGTTGTTTGATTTTAGAGAATGTACTGATTGAGTTAATGGGGTTATCTGACATTCAGAATAAATTTTGAACATTATATCAAAATAACTAAAATTTAAATTAATTTTTACCGTTATTGTATTTTTATAAATTAAACAATTTTGACACACAGATTTATTTATGATTTAAACTCATTAAGACTAAACTCACCAATGTTTTCATTTTATTGTTGGGGCTGATCAATCAAGTTTGCAATTCCTTTTTTTTTTTTCCCCTAAAGTAATTAATAAGTTTTCTTTTTTTTTTCGGTAAGTAATAATTAATAAGCTTTCACATGCTACAGCCAATTTCTTTCTTTTTTATTTTATTTTATCTGGGTGGTAATCAATGCCCATTCTATCAAATCAACCAAAGTACATAAGAAGCATGCCT